GTTTTTTTTCGAATCTTCAGTATTAAGATTATCACTAAAAGAAGATAATATTTTATAATAAAATCAAGTTATCAAAGATTTTTTTGTAATTTTTAAAAATTTTAGAAACAATTATCTTAATTAATTAATAAATAAATTAAATAATATTAAAATTATGAAATAAATTACCCAAAGAAAGGCATCAAAGATATAAGAGTTTGTCTATTTGGTCTAGACGCAAATGCTGGAGAACATTGCGCTAATCTTCCAACAATTCGTCTTAACCATTGTTGTAATTTTTGTCGTCGCTCTTCTACAAATTTAGCATCCTAGAGAATAAATAGAAATAAATAATTTTTATATCTTCTATATATCCGCTTAAATGGTCACAATTTAAAATCGAAAACTAGATTTTCAGGAATTGAATATTGTTATATATCAAATCAATTTTTCTTGTTCTATAAATGTATCCAAGACTTAAATGAAAAATTGAAAAAGTAAGATAATGCAAAATATCTTAATGAATTGAATTAGATAATATTGCATTTTGTTTTTTATTTTATAGAATATGTATATATACTTAAAAAAAAAAAAAAATATAGATAGAAAATTATCATATATTGTAAATACATATGATTGTAAAAATCTCAATAATTTTTTATTATAGTAATTTTAAAATAATAAAAGCATAATATGTTTTTATAAGCAGTTTCAGCAGATGATGATAATAAATTTATAACCATTTAAGTAGACAGTATTATAATTATTTTAATTTTTTTATATATAATATATAAATACCTTATTTCCTATTGTTTTTTTTGGTGGAAATTCAAAAGTAGTAACAATTGCATCATGTTTCTTTAATTCTCTATAAAGTGCATGAAATTGAGCGTATCGTCTATATATATTCCATTCAATATCTCTAATACGTACGTATATCTGTAACAATTAATAAACTTGATACATTTGATAATAATTTTATTAAAATTACTTTATATTAAACATTTTTATATTTAATTTAGATTCACCTGGTAAACATGATGTATATCAGAAGATTGCCCAGTAAGAAATGCAGATGGAATCCATATATGTATAAGACATGGTGGTTCCAATGGTAAATCATCTTCATTTATAGGCCCGCGAAGGCACTCTAATTCAGCTTGTAACAACTTAACTAATCTATCTCTGTAATTTTTCAAAATATTAATATAAAATATAAATTATAATAATAATTTATTAATAATAATAATTATAATAATTATAATAATTATAATAATAATAATAATATAATAATAATAATATAATAATTTTTACCTGTCATTTAATTGTAAAGTTAATCTAGCATTAAATTCCATTAGTTCTGCATGCATGTCTGCAACCTGAATTAATTTCTCTTCATATTGTTGAGCTTCATAATGATAATCTAATGATGGATCTTCTTCAGAAACTGTAGTAGAATCCGAATCTCTTCTTAACATTTGTACTGCTGTTACATATTTTCGTAATTGTTGTCTTAATAATTCATTTTCTCTATTAAATTAGAATTAATAAAGTATTAAAAAATATAATTTATTTCTATATTTGATAGAATAAAATCATACAAATTTACCGATTTAATGCTTGTATTTGTAATTCATGTCTTTCAAGATAATTTTGATGTTGTCTTTGTAAACGACCAAGTTGTAATCTACTAGTCATAGCATCTTCTTTAGCCTGTTCTAACATTTCAGTCATAGCTAAAAGTTTAACTTGTAATGTCTCAATATCTAAACTATCATTATTTATATGAATATCCAAATCTGTAAAAGGTTCAGTAGCTTCAATTGCAGGTTCTGCAACTTCAGATGAATCCTATATAAGAAATATAAAATGAATTAAAAATAATAAATTAAATTAAAAATTAAATATATTAAAGTTTAATATATTTTAAACATACATCTAGATAACTTGGTAATGTTATTAACATATCATCTAATGTTTGATCTAAAGGTGAGACAGGAACAAGTCCACCCATACTTCCAGAATTTGTGATTGGTGTTAATATTTTTTCTTCTTCAAAGGTTTCACTAAAATAACGAATATTATTACTTAAAACATCAAATTGAAAGTATATGCTTAGGAGTAATATGCTTACTTACTTATTTTCCCAATCAGAATTTTCTTTACTTGTTATTGTAGTAATATTATTTGTTTCTATTTGAGATTGTGAAACTAAACTATGTGATGTAGAAGTTTTTATTGATGTTACTGTAGGAGAATTGAGACAAGTTGGAGGAGCACTGACTGAAATGGAAACTTCTGTGTTTTCTTGTTCATCATTTTCATTATCAAAAGAAATTATATGGACTGGCACTTTTTTTCTTTGTTTCTGTTTTAAAGTAGGCCCTAATTGAGACATTCATTATATTTGTATAAAAATTATATTTAATTTTATATATTTAATATAAGAGATATGATTACCTGGTATTGAAGATGATATTATTGGTTCAGATAATGAAACCTTTTGTTTATCCATTTCTCTGCCTTTTAAATTATTATCTAATTCTTCATTATCTATCCTAATTGCAAATAAAATACTACCAAGTCCTAGAAGATCAAAATGATATTTAATTACTTTATACAAATAAAATATTATGATAAAAAATTAATGTTTTTATACCTGCTGCTACATTTGGCAATATAGCACTTCGTTCCTGATCAAGTAAAAATGCCCAATCTTCATAAAATGGAGACAATATTGAAGGATCAAGTATAGCATGTAAATGACGTTCTAAAGAACGTTCATTTAAAACAGCTCTGAGCCATGCTCTACCTCTGCCATAATCTGTATGAACCTTTTTTAATACACTAAAACGTTCTTGTTCATGCCATGTTAATTGTTCTTTTATACAAGGCCAAAATGCCATATCTGATGTATTACATGATTTTGTATTACCACCGGACACTATGTCTGAAACATGCCTGTAGAAATATAAATAATATAAAATAATATAAAATAAAATAATAATATAAAATAATAGAACATACTTTATATTATCATACAACATCATCTTTCAAATATATTTATATAATCACATTTGAAATGATAAAATATAAAAAAAGAAAATGCATCATTATATAAATAATTATATGCACATTATTATAATATATCAAAATTATTTTGAGAAAATATAATAAATACTATTTCTATATTTCTAACTTATATATATTCTAACTTATATTTATATATTTTATATTTTATAGAATATTGTAGATATTATAGATATCCTGATTAAATAAATAACATTTTAATTATATATATATATATATTTTATATTATATTATTATAATTTATATTATAATATATATTATTTATTTTAATACTAACATATATATTGTTTTTTACCTTAAAGCTGAATTAATTTTTTCAATACAGTTTATACGTAATCCATGACTAAAAATTGATTCAAATATATGACATAATTGTGTGACACATATATCTGATTCAGTTGCTAATTCAGTACGCCCACCAAATCTAATATGACACTTCTTTGCAGCAGCCAATAAATTTTCCA